AGAACTGGAGGGATCGGTCCATCAAGACTGTTCTCAGAAAGATCCAAGATCCTTAGCCTGGTTAGATTCGATATGCCCTCTGGGATCGGACCTTCCAAGGAATTGTTTCTGAGGTTAAATACCTCGAGAGAGGATAGCCGTGAGATGAAACTCGGAATCTTCCCGGAGATTCTGTTGTCATGAAGGTCAAGATGCTCGAGAAATGCGAGATTGCTGAAGTTCTGAGGGAGTTCACCGCTGAAACTGTTCTGGCTCATTGACAGCATTATGGTGTTTAACCCGAAACCGGTAGGAACGTTACCGGAGAATTTATTCGAAGATATGTCAACAAACGCGAGCAATGACTCGGGATCAAATCTCGGGAACTCACCAGAGAAGCTGTTCTTTGACAAGTCCAGTAGCAGCAGCCTGTAGATGTTTGAAATGGACTTGGGTACTGGTCCGGAAAAGTTGTTTTCAGACAGCATTAGTATCATTACAGATCTCGTGTCGCCGATTGTCTCGGGAATCTGACCAGAAAATTTGTTTCTTGAGAGTGAAAGAACCGACAAGTTCAGAGTTTGAAACAAGCTCGGAGGCAGTGAACCAGTGAGTTTGTTGTCTGACAAGATTACGGTTCCGATCTCCAGATCAGCCAACCATTTCGGAAAGATACCTTCGAGCTCGTTTTCGCTCAAATCCAAGTGGAGAAGATCGGTTTGATTCTTGAGCAAATCCGGGATCGGACCCTTCAAGCCACAAGATCTAAGTGACAACTGCATTAACTTGCATTTTGCAACCACTGAAGCATTGTTGTTCCAATGAAAGTTGTTGCCTCCAAGCCGCAGTATCTTGAGCTTCTCAAGTCCAAACAGCCATGCCGGGATCTCGCCCGAGAGATTGTTATCCTCGAGGTGAAGAGTTTCAAGATTCGATAGTTTCTGAATGGTCGACGGGATTTCACCAGACAGATTGTTCTTCCTCAGGGACAGAGTTGAAAGATTCACCAAGTTCCCAATCCCGTCTGGAATCTTGAACGACAAGGAATTGTTCTGAAGATCAAACGTTTCCAACTTGATAAGCTGTAATATAGACACTGGTATCTGACCGGAGAATCTGTTCTGCCTCAACGACAGCTTCCTTAGCTCGGTAAGGTTGCCTTGTACAAAAAAACCAGAACAAAAACAAAAGTTAGAAACTTTAACTGTACTCAAAAGGCAAAATCGCAAGATTAATTTCTGAAGTTACCTATCTCTGGAGGAATCTCTCCTTGGATAAGATTCTCATCCAAGATCAGTTCCTGCAGATTCTTGAGCTCTTCGATGTCACCGCTTAACGTCCCACCGATAACATTTCTGCTCAAATCAAGATGCTGAAGATTCCTCAAGGAAAACAATTCAGGAGGGACAGAACCGTTGAAACCATTGTCTTTCATGTCAAGAGACACGAGCCTCGTCAAGTTCACAAACCCATGTCTAGGAATCTCTCCTTGTATCGAATTAGACGAAACATCGAGCTCCACAAGAGAATTGATACGCAGGATCGGAATCAGAAGATTTGAACTCACTGAGCCAGAGAGATCGAGTGAGTACAGATCCAGGCCTACCACTTCCCTTGCAGGCGAACGAGTGTCGCATCTAACAAGCTTCCATCGGCAGCAATCTGAGTTCTGAACCCATGTGTCTATGTCCCCCAAGAACACATCTGTCGTGGATTCGTTCTTGATGGTTTCGATTAGCGAGTACTTGAACTCGAGAAGGGCTTGTTTCTGATCATCTGGGCAGGCGAAAGATCTCTGCGGGACGATGAAGACGAAGAAGAAGAACAAGAACGAAGAGGAGAGGACAAGACATGATCTTGGCGGCATTTCTCAAAAGATTTTCGTTGCTCTGCTTCACTTTCTGTCCTTCTCGTTGCTCTGCTTCTGTGTCTCGTTGAACAAGGAAGACAACAGGGAAAGTTGACTTCCTTTTGTCTGTTCATCGTCAACGATGGAGAAATCTGTGTCTGTCCATTGCTATAGAGTGGTCCGAAAAGGTTGACTTTGGTGGAATGAATTAGCCCCTCTTCTAGTTAATGTTCCTGGCACTTCAATGGATATATTTCTTTATTCATTATCAAATTAATATTCTCTTTATTTTCATATACGCAAAAAAAATCATTTGTTTTTTAATGTTACATTTCAAAACTACATCATTTAAATATAGAAGTCGTTTGACTTGACTCTGATCAACGATTATGTAACGAACAAAACATAAAAAATGAGATAAATATCCAAAAATGATTTGCGTTTCACGAGTTTATAATGACTATATAATAAAATAAGTAATTCTATAACAAAAATAAAATAAAATTATAAAAGACTTGGAAAATAACCAGTGGATGTGACGTCAATGTGAATTGGATAAATAGAAGAGTAATTATTCCGAATTAATTACTATTTATATATTTTTTTGGACAAAATTGCCCATCACGAGTGGCTTAAATTGCACATATGTGCCACCCACTTCTGCTTTGTTGGGTGATTAGTTCTTATTTTGCTTAATATTGAACAGAGTAATAAGATTAGGCTGTTAATTATAATTATGGATTTCACAATGGAAATGATTTTTGGATTTTAATGGCGACAAAAAGAAATTATTCAAGCGTTTAGTCATTTTGGACGGTATTGATATCACCGCCTTTGTGACGAGGGGATATGAAAGAACCCACAGAATAAAGAACGGAACTTTCTAAAACCCTGAACTCTCACCGTCTCTGCCTCTGTGGGTTTAGAGCCTCCATTTCCAAAAAGCTCTCTGGGTTTTTTGCTCAGCGATCAAAACTTGTATTAGGGTTTTTCTTTTTCTTCTTTCCTCTTTCGAAAGCTTGTCTTTTTCTTCGCCATGGCAGGACCCGCTTCCTCTGATCGTCTCGTTACCACCTTCCCTCTTCTGGGTTTGTCCATCTTTCTCTTATCGTTGAACTTTTTTTCTGAACTGTTGTCGGGCTTTCGTTTGTTCTTTGAAGTAACTGTGGTGTATGATCGGAATTCAATACCTTAGACTGTAAACAACGAGGGAAGTGTTAGGCGTCATATCTGCTGGGCTTATATCTAACTTGGACGAAAAGCGTTTGCGATTCCGCAGATGATGTCAAATGCCTAAAATTTTGAATCTTTTGCTGGGTTGTATTCTTCCTTGGGAGACGATGTATGATACGATCTTTGTGCAATTTGCAAGTTTTTTTCTGGGTCCAGGGTTTATGGGTTTAGTGTTCACTTCCTTGTTGTTTTCGTCTTTCTCGTGTTGTGAATTGACCATATTTTATGCAGATACTGCTTTTTCCTTGGGGGAGATAACACGTATACACTCATGAATTTGAAGGTTTTTATTCATTTGGTTCCTGTATGTATTCTCTCACTGCAGAGACAGCGGATATGCTGCAGCAGTTGTCATTGGGCTCAGACGCCAATGAAGTTTCTGGAGTCCTTAGTAAGGTATTTGTAAATGAGTCTAGTGTCCTACTTGTGTTGTTACTTTCATTTTCTGTTTCTTCTGCTCATAGTTCTGTTTTGGAGTGCACTCTTCTAAAATTCCAAGACTTGATTGAAATTTTGCTACTACTGCTACTTGATATGAGACTCTGAAGTGAAACTGTAAAGAGGTTTGTAATGGTAGAAAAGTGTAAGATCTCAGGGTCAGTTTTTCCTTGGCAGGGTGTTTATCACGGGAATGGTTCTCTCGAGAGGAAAGCTCGTACACCATATAGTGCTTCAGCTTCTCACGTTCCAGCTTCTCTTGGGACCAGAGGAAGCCAACAAACAAAGGCCCTGCCAAATGGCGGTGACTTATCGTCCTTGTATCCATGGGGATACCTCCCGTCAGGCTCTCAGTACAAGGATATGGTGTTTGCTTTTGACCACAACAGCCATTCGAACACCTTTTCACATTACATGGTACGGTTCATTCTGTTGATCAAATTCACAAATCTTTGCAAGCTCTTTCTTTGGCTAGAGAGTGTTTGTTGCCTCGTCTTTCTCTTTAGGTGGGATGTATGAACTTTTCTAGTGTGTTGAAGGTATGAAGATTGCAAATTTGATAATTTTTTAGCTCAGTTCACTAAATTCACTGTCTTTTCGTTGTTAATTATGTTCCATCCTTGTTGTGATTTGGTCAGCTGAAATCTGTAATTCGATGTTGATGCTAGAGAGTTTGAATTGCCCTTGTAACTGTCTGTCTTATGCATCCGATCTCTTTAAGCTAAAACGTGTTACCTGTCCTTCCTAACATGACTGGTTGCATTTATGATTTATCTGGAACATGTTTGAACAATTTCACGACAGAACTCAGACAGTTCTCGACGTGCATCAAGTTTTGGCCAGCCTTCTTTTGGATATATTGATCACTTGTATCCGAATCATGTAATCGATCCTGGTTATCCTTATGGATCTTCCGGTTATGATTCTTGGAAACATGGGCGAGGCTGGTATCCTGTTGATGGTAATGGAAAAACCAGAAGCTCCAGTCATGGACGTGGTTTTGTTGAAGAGAAACCGGAGAGGTTGAATGAGCTTTGTCGAGGTCCAAGGAGCGGTGATTACAAGAACCAACAAGGTTTTCAAGCTACACAGCCAGAGGCAGCAGCAGCAATACAGGACACTGAAGAGCAAGAAGGAGAAAGTTCATACTTGTCAGGAGATCCCAATCTGTACAATGGAGACACTTTCCCTGAAACATATTCGAAAGCCAAATTCTTTGTGATTAAATCCTACAGCGAAGATGATGTTCACAAGAGCATAAAGTATGGTGTGTGGTCAAGCACGTTAAATGGTAACAAGAAGTTGGATGCTGCATACCGTGAAGCCAAGGAGAATCCCGAAGGATGTCCTGTCTTTCTGCTGTTCTCGGTGAGTATTGAGTTTAACTTTATCATCATCTATTGTCGTTTTTGTGTAATACCCGTTTAGATTCACACGTGAAAATGGGTTTTCTCCCTCTTTCGGCAGGTGAATGCCAGTGGTCAGTTTGTTGGTTTGGCAGAGATGGTAGGTCCAGTCGATTTCAACAAGACCGTGGAATACTGGCAACAGGATAAATGGATTGGTTGCTTCCCGGTGAAGTGGCATATAGTTAAAGATGTTCCAAACAGTCTTCTGAGGCACATAACGCTCGAGAACAACGAGAACAAACCAGTGACTAACAGTAGAGACACTCAAGAGGTAGTGAAAAAAAAACCTGTTTTTACATTTCGAGTATCGTTTTCATCAGTTTGTTCTCCTTGATCGAAATCCTAAACAAAACAAGGTTTTTGGTTGTGGCTATTGCCCGTATAACAAGCAAGAATCCAAACCTAAGACATCATCCTGTTCTGTCCGAATGTTTCAACTTGCTGAAGTTTTGATTTTGACGGGTATATACGGCTGTTGATGCAAGGTGAATCTGGAGAACGGCACGAAAATCATCAAAATCTTCAAGGAGCATACGAGCAAGACATGCATATTGGATGACTTTGGATTCTACGAGGCTCGAGCGATGATCATCCACGAGAAGAAGAAGACTAAGAAACCAAAGAAACAGGCAAAGATCTGAATCTTTCCGACTTTCCTGCTCTTCTAGTTATCCTCGGAGGGGAAAATTCGCCATCTTTCAATCACTCGAATTTTCGATCCTTTTGAATCAGGCTCTTGATGGAGCTGCAGAAGAGATGGCTCACCTGTTGTATTGAAAGTTGGAACCGATGCTAAGAACATCGTATAGGAGGACATGACGATGAAGATAGAAGATGCCAGAAGTAGAACTTTTGTGGAGTATGTTTCAGACAGGAAGTTTCTGAATCTACAGACAGACATGCGTTATTTTCCCTCGTTTTCTCGCTATCCAAACAGACTCGTTCGTTCGTGATACTCGGAGAACATTTGTTTTCATTTTCCTTCTTTCTCTATGTTATGTATGCTAATGGCAACTGAAAAACGGCCAACTGTTTTATCATTTAGTTTTTTTCATAGTTTTATAAATCATGCTTGAACTAAATAAATCCTGTTTAAATGTTAAATTCAGGATGTTAATATATGAGATTAATCTCTATAACCTCGAGATAGGGTTTACATTTCTTTTATTTCGTAGCAATATGTGAGATTAATCTCTGTAACTCCGAGACAGGGTTTACATTTTTTTTAAATTTTGTAGCATTATATAAATATTTTGTAATTTATTAAATATGTTAGGTGTCGAATGGGAGGTGGATTTCGGAGTTTTTGGATTTCAAAAAGTGAAAAAACCGACAATCTAGTTTATTATAAAAAAAATTAACTAAAAACTAAAAGTCACCTTTTTTTTTAAGATTTATAAACTTTCATAATTCAAAAGCCAAAAACTAAAAATTCAAAACAAAAAACTAAAGCCAAAATGTTTTATTTTGACAATTCTATCATTTTTGAATTATTTAGCAAGTTCTCTCTCTCAAAAAAAAAGGAAAAGAACTTGGAGTTATTACTATTATTTCAAGTTTCGTTCGGGGGGTTCTAGGGCATTCCAGCCACTTCACTGAGGTTCTCTCTTGCAAAAGAAAGTTCATCACTTGCAGTTTCTAGGGTTTTCTTTCGTTCCCTTCACCGGAGGTGAAGATTCAGATCGTCTCCGAAGAAAATGGGGTTCTCGATGCAGCCGTACGGTATCCAATCCATGCTTAAAGAAGGGTATAGGCATCTCTCTGGCCTCGACGAGGCGGTTGTCAAGAACATCGACGCCTGCAAGGAGCTCTCCACCATCACCCGTACCTCTCTTGGTCCCAATGGTACGCCTTTACTCGGAAATAGTGTTTCACTCCTCTCTGTTTTTTTTTTTGCTTTTTTTTTTTGGATCCGCAACGTTTCGATTGTGTTCTGCTTTCAGCGAAATGGTTTCGATTGCCGATCTGGTGCCATGTCTCGAATGTGGATCTTATTTATTTACGCTTCGAGCTCTTTTGAGTAATCAATGGTTCCATATGGAATCTAGCATTGTTCATTTCTCTTACTTGGTGTTCTCTCTTCTTTTTTTTTTCTTTTGGAACTTCGATTCGAATCAGAAATGGGTTCCGTTTTGCATTGACGTATTGGTAATGAAATTTGTCTGCTTTCGCATTTTCTGATGCTTAGGAATTACTTTTGATGATAATCATTCATGTTAACAAAGTACGTTTCCTGAAAGTTGCTGAACCATAGATTGTGCTGAAAGTCCGTCAGCTTTTAACCTTTTACCGCCAATCTCATGTGTTATTATGTGTTCTATCAGTTTTATGTCTTTGCTAAGATGTATTTTTTCTCCTAAGATTTTGTTGAACGTGACATTCATGCATTTGATTATTTGGGTCTGTCTAAACGCTTTCAATTTATGTTCGTTGTTCCAAAATGTTAGCAGTCTTATCTTATATTCAGGAGGTTTAGTTTGAACGTGGATCCTGGTTGAATTCTTCACACCTGATCTGATTGGTATATCATATGCATTGTTGAACACATAGTTTAGAGTAAAACCCCGATGTTCTTTTCGTCTGAATCTTAGTCATTGGTTTTCTGGTGTTTAGGTATGAATAAAATGGTTATCAATCATTTAGACAAGCTATTTGTCACGAATGATGCTGCAACTATTGTGAATGAATTGGAGATTCAGCACCCGGCTGCAAAAATTCTTGTGTTGGCCGCCAAGGCTCAACAAGAAGAAATTGGAGATGGTGCCAATCTCACTATTTCATTTGCCGGGGAGCTTCTTCAAAATGCCGAGGAGCTTATCAGGATGGGACTGCATCCTAGTGAGATCATAACTGGGTATACTAAAGGAATCAATAAGGTTGCCATATACACTTCACCATGTGCTTTGTTCCGTGTTCTGTAGTTAGTAACCAATCCTACTGATCTTTCTTTTCTCTGAATATCGGTTAATATGCACTTATGCAGGCTGTTGAGTTTCTGGAACAACTGGTTGAAAGTGGCTCTGAAAATATGGATGTGCGTAGCAAAGATCAAGTCATTTCTCGGATGAGAGCGGCTGTTGCAAGCAAGCAATTTGGGCAAGAGGATATTTTATGTTCTTTAGTTGCTGATGTAACCATGCCTATCTACCCCTTTTCCATTGTTTACTGGTTTATTGCCTAGGCTAGTAGGCTGTGATTTCTGCAAGGTTATGTCTGGTCGAGTTTATTTCTGATTATGGGTTTATCTAACTTCTAGGCATGCATTCAAGTGTGTCCCAAGAATCCTGCTAACTTCAATGTGGATAATGTCCGTGTGGCGAAGCTTCTGGGTGGAGGATTGCACAATTCTACTATAGTCCGTGGTATGGTATTGAAAACTGATGCTGTTGGGAGCATAAAGCGAATGGAGAAGGCAAAGGTGAGAACCGTTATTCTATTACTTTTTCTTTTCTGCTGTGTAGGGCCTCTCCTGCGACTTAGGCTTTGAATGGGGATGATTTTTATTTTGGGTTTTTGGTTTTAGTTTTTGGATTTTGGTTTTAGTTTTTGGTTTTTGGTTTCTGGATTCTATAATATTTGAAAACTCAAAAAAAGTAGCTTTTGATTTTTCATTGATTTTTTCACTAAAATGGTTTTCCAAGTTGTTAGGAAAAGTAATTTTGTAAAAACTTGAATGGTAGTTTTTTTGGTTTTTGGATTCTAAAAACTCCAAAAACTACGACCATTCAAGGCCTTAATCATTTCTCTGGTTTCGATTTCTGAAATCTAATGGGATGGAACCATGTCATACACTTTTTCAGGTTGCTGTGTTTGCTAGTGGTGTTGATACTACTGCAACTGAGACGAAGGGAACTGTCCTCATTCACAGTGCTGAGCAGGTTTGCTTTTTCTTATCTAAAATATTGCACTCCGGTGATTCTCTATTATTTTCTTGCTAAGATTTCGATGGTATGACTCAGTTTGATGATCTTCCATCTTTCTTGCATTTGTATTTTATCCTCGCATAGTGTATGTAAAACGGGTTTTTATCATAGTTGTGTATTTCTGCTATTGAAATCCGGCTCACACTTCTGTCCTTCTTTACCATTCACCATGGTTTTTGCTTGTCTGTATATTTTAATTCTCTATCTCTGGTTTGGTCTTGTAGCTAGAGAATTATGCGAAAACAGAGGAAGCTAAAGTTGAAGAATTGATAAAGGCTGTTGCTGAATCAGGTGCCCAAGTCATTGTTAGTGGCGGAGCAGTTGGAGAAATGGCATTGCATTTCTGTGAGCGCTACAAGTATGGAGATAGCATCTATTCTACAGTTCCTTCAATTTTCAATTTTCTTAAACCTTACATCCTTGGGAATTGCTAGGATTTGTGTCCATTTCACTGTCATCTCCGTTACAGAAATTTTTGCTTTTCAGGTTGATGGTCTTGAAAATCAGCTCAAAGTTCGAATTACGACGCTTCTGCCGGACGACGGGGGCTGTCGCCCATGTAAGTGTTTGTGTACAATCTTTCATAGTATATATTGGCATAAGCTGGTTTGTAACTTTTTCTTGTTTGCTTATCTAACAGTTGAAGCTTAGCCGACCAAACCCAGAAGACTTGGGATATGTTGATTCTGTATCAGTTGAGGAAATTGGTGGTGTAACAGTAAGTCCTTTTCGAAACAATTTTATCTTTCTATTAAAAGTTGTTTTTATCTCTTCCATTTAGCGATTATTTTCTCCTTTTGCATTAACTTCACAGGTCACAATTGCAAGAAATGAGGAGGGTGGTAACTCCATCTCTACAGTAGTTCTGCGAGGAAGTACAGATAGCATATTGGACGACCTCGAAAGAGCCGTGGATGATGGAGTCAATACATATAAGGTAGAATCTGCACGTCTTCTGTTCTGTCACTTTTTCCCCTGCTCTGACCAGCCTAATGTCTGATATTGATCTTCACATTTTTTTATACATTTATGCTCAGGCTATGTGCAGAGACAGCCGTACAGTTCCTGGAGCTGCCGCGACTGAAATTGAGTTGGCTAAAAGATTGAGGGATTACGCTAATGCAGAAACGGGGTATCTGCTTTGTACTTCGTTTTCTTGAATTCCTTGCGAGACAAATCAGGGTTTGAACTGAAAAATCTTAGTGACCGTGAAGTTTCATCCCCGAGTGTGATTATACATCAGCAAATATGTTTTCCAGAATGCAAAACTGCCCGTGATTCTGTTAAATTTGGTTTCACGTTAAATATCTTATTTGATATTCAGGTTGGACAAATATGCCATCTCCAAATTCGCAGAGAGCTTTGAGTTTGTCCCAAAAACCCTTGCGGATAATGCTGGCCTCAATGCAATGGAGATCATTGCCTCACTCTACACTGGACACGGATCTGGAAACACAAAATTGGGAATCGATTTGGAGGAAGGTGTTTGTAAAGACGCCTCAGAGATGAATATATGGGATTTGTACGTTACTAAGTAAGTTTCTACGAACCCTCATTCAGCCATTGAATCTTTCTGTACATTATCATATAATGATTGTGTTGAGTTGATGTTTATGACTCGTGCAAAAGCTGTGTAAGCTGTTCATGAACAAAACCCGTTAATCCCTTTTGTGAAATTCTCGGTCAGGCTCTTTGCACTCAAATACGCAGCGGATGCTGCCTGCACAGTGCTACGTGTTGACCAGGTACGTATTAGTTGCCCTTTTTGTGATCTTTTTGGTGAATCTCATTTCATCACTCAGTTATTTGCATCAATTTCAAATTTTAAGACAAAAGGCAAATGTAAGAAGGGAGCGTTTGTGTGTGAATCAAAGTGCATTTGGAACATTTCTTAAGAAGTTAAGAACAAGTGTGTTGGTGTTGGAAATGTGGTTTCTGAGCGTGTGAGCTAACTGTTCTTTGCCTGAAATGGCAGATTATAATGGCGAAGCCAGCAGGTGGGCCGAGGAGAGATGCGGCTGCTGCAGCAGC